CTCAAAAACACATACCCATTTGAGAACAAAAATAACAAATACCAACTTGCATTTATTATAGGAATTCAAGGGTGATTTAACACTAGAAAATATATAACTATAATTTAACACTTAGGCAGATTAAAGGAGAAAATTCAAATTGTTTTCTGAATAGATAATGAAAAGGGCACATAATAAAATGCAATATCCATTAATTCATTTGCATAAAACAAATACAAAGTCTTACAGCAAACTAGGACTTAAAGGAAATGTTCTTTAACTAATAAAGAAGATCTATCCCAATACCTACAGCAAACAGCATACTTAATGGTGAAATATTAGAATCATAACTGTTAGTATCAGGAAGATGCTCACTAATCTGGTTGTCTTCAACATTGTTGTACAGAATCCTAGACCCTACAATATAAGGAGGAAAAAATATATATAAGATTTTGAAAGAAAGAAACATAACTGTTATTTGTTGATGTAATGTTTCTCAGTATCGACAATAATGAAGAATGTATAGAACAATTTTTGGAAAATTAGATAGATTAGTAAGGTTGCTAGATATATAAGATCAGTATATAAAACCTGTTTTTTGTTCACAACAAAAAACAATTTAAAAAATTAAGTTACAATATACAATAACAGCAAATACATGATTCTTAGAAATCAAACTAATAAAAATATAAAACTGTTATGGAACATATATACAAAAAGACAATAAAGAGAATCTCAATAAATAGCAATACTATATTCATAGATTTAAGAAAAAAACCTTCAAAATTATTGGAAAGTTTCAATGCGATTTTGGTCAAAACCCCAATGGAAATTATCAAAGGAACTTGACAAACAGATTCTGAAATTTATATGAAAGGGCTAAAGCTTAAGAAAAGCCAAACTACTCTTGAAGAAGAAGATGAGGAGCTTATTCTACCGAATATCAAAATTCATTATAAAGCTATGAATTAAGACAGTGTGGTACTGGTGCAGAGACAGTTGTTTCTCTCCACTTATGGAACAGCCATAATCAGATACATGCACCTATGGAAACTTGATATAAGACAGAAATGGCGTTACAGATGATGGGAAAATGTCATGATACAGATTAAATGGTTATGCATTGTTAATCCATATAGAAAAATCAGTCAAAAGCCTTACATTATACAAGAAAATAAATACAGTAGAATTAAATGTCTAAGTCAAGACTTTAAAACTTTTAGACTACAGTTTAGGAGAATATCTTTAGTAACTCAGAATCAGAATATCTTTAGGAACTCAGAATATCTTTAGTAACTCAGAATCAGAAAGGTTTTCATCAGCAAGACACACACACACAAACACACAGACTAAACAAAGAAGAATCAGTCTTGATAAATATGACGTTATAATGTTATCAATTTAAATTTGTTTACTAAAATATCATTAAAGGGTAAAAGATAAACCACCACAACAAAAAAAAGAGAATATATAATCAACAAGGATTAATATCAGAGTATCAAAACAGCTACTACACATTTATAAAATAACCTAATAGAAAATATTTTTTTAATTCTTAAAATCCATAACACCTGTGTAATCATAAGAAAAATGTTAGACAAATTCCAATAGAGGGACTTCCTACACAATACCTGACTAGTACTCCTCAAAACTGTCAAGGTCATCAAAAACAAGGAAATTTGAGAAACTGTCACATCCAAGAAGAGCCTAAGGAATGATGACTATACACAATACGGTGTCTAAGATGAGATCCTGGAACAGGAAAAAGGCATTATGTTAACACTAAGGAAATCTAAATACACTCTGGATTTTGCTTAATAATGATATACTAAAATTGGTTCAATTATAACAAATGTCCACACTAAGATAAGTTGTAAAAATAGGGGAAACTGGGTGCAGCATATATGGAAGGGTATTCTCCTTTCAATCTGTCTGTAAATTCCAAACTTTTCTTAAAATGTATATGCATACTTAAATACACACACACACACACACACACACACACACACACATGCACTTTAGACATAGGAAAAACAAGTGGCCCAGAAAATATGAAAAAATTCTCAACCTTTTTTTGGAAATCAGGGAATAGGGATATACCTATTATGATCATAGTAAGATAAAATCCTTTACCTACTATACGGGAAACAATTAAGTTTTCTCATGCTATTGTGTGCTAGTGAGGTGAGGGACAAATGAGAATCCCTATACTGTACTGTTGAGAGTGTAAATTAATACAATCACTGTAGAAAACAATTTGGTACTATCTTGTAAATTTGAATATCCTACATCCTATGATGAACAATTCTATTCCTATGTATTTCACAAAAACAGTAAGAACAACAATAACAATACCCTCTTGCATCCATATACCAAGAGACATGAACACTTTGTGCACAGTAGCATAACGTATATATGCAAAAAACTAGAAATATGTCCATAAACAGAGAAAACATAAATAAATTGAGGTATGCTCATGAACAAAATATCATAAATCAAAAAGAATTACAACTACAACAACATGGATGAATTTTAGAAATAAGACATCAACTTGAAAAGCGACTAGGTACAGGATGATAATATTCTCAATGCTCAAAAGAAAGTGAGTATCAGCAGCATTTTCTTTAGGGATGCATATATATGCAAAAAGACATCTGAAAAATACAAGAGTATGAAAAACACAAAATTCAGAATGGTGATTTCCTCTAGGAGGAAGCAAAGGATGGAGTAGAGAAGGAACACTCTGGTAAATGCAGACCTATGGTTTACAGTCTAGGTCATAAATATGGTGGTGGGTTTAAGGGTATTGATATAACTACTATCATTCAGGACATACACATATTCTCATATCTCTATCAAATATACTGAATAATAAAAGAACTTAGAACTGAAGAAAACTCATGCCTGGATGATTGGGAAATTGATGGTAAAATTCATCAAAACAAAGAAGTTCAGTGGGAAGTTTGGATTTAAAGGGGAAGTAAAGTATTTGGACCTGCTGAATTTTAAGGTTATGACAGAATATGGATCGATCTGCACCAACGGACAGAAAATTAATTGGTTGGGGGGGGTAAAGGGGTATGGGAGGGAACATTTACCTAGCCTGGTGACCTGGAGGAGGGGTTCAGGGAGCTGAACAGATGTTGAACCAGACTTCCTGTTTTGGCTCTGCCCTGCCTCCTGCTTCAGAGCTTCCACTTGCATCTCCTCCTAACCCCATACCCCCATCCCCATCCCCGCCACACGCATTGCTTTCCTCCATCCTTTGTGGTTAAGAAGAGTTCAACTTTTATTTATAAATTTATTTGGTTTGCTGAATAATGGGCATATTTCTCAACTCTTCTCTTTGTCTCTCCTGTTATCTTTGTCCTTGTGAAGTTGAATTTTTTTTTTTTTTTTACTTTCTGTGGTTGATTTTGTGTGGGGTAAAGAAAAATCCATATGTCCAATAGTCTATGATTTACTTGAAATCCTCTACTTGAACCGTTATCTTCAATTTATCACTGCTGCCCCCTATCAGCTGAGGTGGAAAGGTTCTCTGGTCCCAACAGTGTGCTACAGAAAGCCATATTCTTTGGGTGTGAAGTTTGGCTGCGGTTCTTAGTAGCTGTGTTGGGCAGGATAAACTATTTCATCTCTCTTAGCTGGCATTTTCTTATCTACAAAACTGTGGCTTTTTATTGCGTACTCGACAAAGGTATCTGAAGAATAAAATAATGTAAGTAAAATTCCTGGGTTATGGGGCATACATGCATCGGCTTGCTACTCCCCACCTGGTAGTAACACCCACAGTTCGGATCCTTGACTGTAACCCAGCAATATGCTCTCCTGACTTTCCTGGGCTACCCTCAACTAGAAGATCAATGTCCTTCTCTAAGGGATATGATATAGAGGATTTCTGTTTTGGTTGAAACATGAACTAAGTGATCATTGAGGTGTTTTCCTCTTTGAAGTCTGAGTTCACCTTTCCTTTTGTTTTTTCCTTCATTTTTCCTTTACTTGGAGAGGGTTATCAGCAGCAGTATTTAGAGTAAATGAGGAAAGCTTGACTCAAATGAAACTGATCCCTGGTCTATTCTCTGCTACCCTTCTTGGGGACTGCCACAGAACATCCTACTGGACTGGGCATTGTGGCCTAGATGCCCAACAGTTTGGTAATCTGATCTCTTCTTGTCTCTAATAAGCTAAACGTTATATTCTTAACCCCAGCTCATTGCTTTAGTTTCTTTATAGGGAAATGAAGGGGAGAGAGCTTGGCCAAGAAGGTTTGGTCTAGCCTTCAATGAATATGAAATCTTAGCAAGGAGGCCAGGCTTATAGTGAGAAAATAATGCTTGCATTAATCCACTTAGAATTGCAGAGGGCTCCCACCCCCCTACCTACAATGTGGATTGGTTTAACACCCTTTGTTGGTGTTATTTGACCATTCCCTTCAAATGCTAATGACCAGCTAGTTTAACACCCTTTATTGGTGTTATTCGGACAGTCCCTTCAAATGTGCTTGAATAGCTTGCTTTGTTTCCATAGACAGGGGAGCCAAATAACTTCAGGGCCTAGAAGCAAATTATTTCACTGGTATAGACCCACCCTGAATGATGAATTGGGCTCTATGGTGGCTGTTTCACTGAAGACTGGGATTTCCCTACCCATCTCAAACCAGGCCAAAAAGGAGCTAAACCATTTTCTCCTCATTATCACCTCATTAAGCTCCCCAAGCCAGTGCAGGGCTGGGGTAGAGGCCTGCTACAGGTAGCTTAATGAGTTTCTTATTTATAGGCCCCAGTGCTGTTATGCAAAAGCTTGTTATTCTCAGGCCTGGAGTATGGCGTTTTCTAAAGGGAGTTGAGAAATGCAATTATCAAGCATCTTGGCATGGGCCTCACACTGCTTCTTGGCCACTTGATCAACAATAAATAAATACATTTGTTAGATTTCTAGAATTTGATATTGTGCTGTGGCATTTACCCCAATTTTCTTGTTTTCTTCTTCTAACAACACAGAACAGATGCTGCCCCAGATGTGGAAAATGCAGATGTTTGCCAGCTTCAGGATGACTCCAAATTCATAACTGTACATGGCATTCTGCAGATTCTTCAATTTGAGTTTGAGGGTAAAAACTGCCTCCCCCAAATGTTGGTTAAATACTTTTTTCTGCTTTATGTATGACCTGGAGATCACATTTAATGGAGAAATGAAAAGCAATATCCTACATAAAAATGTTTAAAAAATTGCCATAATTCATATGCAAATATCAATGCGCTATATTTTGAGTTTTTAAAACATCCAATAATTTATGAAAAGTTCAGATACTAAACATTTATTAAGCGTGGACTATTTGTCTGGCATTGAGCAAGGAACTGACAGGAGATAAAAAGTTAAATAGGTAAGTCATTGTCCTAAAGTCAAAGAAATTTATCATCTCACAAAATCCCAGCAGTCAGAACATAGGTGTATATAGAGAGATGCATATGTTCATCTAAGTGTGTGCATATGAATATATATTTACATGCATGCATTTCTCCATGAAGATGTAGTATATATTGAGGAAGTAAAGAATCATTTTTAAACCAAATAAATTTATCAGTAAAGAACAGGCCAAATAACAGGCACAATGTCTTTATTAAATAAAAATATAAATAATTAGTGGCTTATGATGTCAGAGCAAAAACCAAATAAAATGGACCAGTGGAGAGAATCTGACCTGATTCATACTACCATAAGCAGTTTAGTTAAGCAGATGCAAATAGTTCATATATTTGAATGCCTGTGCTGAGTGATATGGAGTATAGAGAAATGAGTGTTATAAACTCTCTCCTTATCTTGTTTATAAACTAGAAAAGAGAGATAAGGTAGGTACATAAAGACATATAAAATACTAGACCGAAAATAGCTCATTAGAGAAGCTTTAAAAATGCTAAAGAAGTGTTGGGAGAAATTATTTCAATTTAAAGAGGAAAAGAAAGCTGGATGTGTCAGAACTTGAGTTTGGGCTTAATAAGATGGGAAGAGTGGTTACTCAATTGTCTCACATGGGACAAACTTAGCTACAACAATACGGTTGTCATGAGCTTCAAAGACAGAGACTTTCCTTGAAGTTACAATTTCAGTGCCAGTCCCCTGTTTCCACTTGGGCTTCATGTGTTTAGGGTGCTAATTGACCACAGGCACAGATAAGAAAGTGACCAATCTGCTCCTACCTCTTGCTGTTTCTGGTATGAAAACTTACCAAAGGTGTAAGGTAGGGAATTGCAGGATACCTTCAGAAAACATGGAATATATTTTCCTGGTTAAAAACTTGGAGTATATGCCTAAGAATAGTAGAAGATGTAGATTAAAAAACAGGTTAGAGAAAGAAGGAGTAGGCAAAGACAAGAGAAAAGATGGATCAGTAAAGCCAGGTGTGCAATTTGGGGCTTTGCTTTCCAGGCAATAGGGAGCATTTTTCTTCTTGTTTGGTTTCCCCAAGCAGAAGAATGGAATGGTCAGATGGTTCATGTACAAGGGACCCTGATGGGTAGATTGGCAAAGCCAAAGACTAGAAGCAGGGAGATCATTTAGGGGCCTATTCAATATTCCAATTAAGGTGAAAAAATGAGTTTGCAGAAAAAAATAGAAAGAAGAAAAGGAAATTCAGTAATAGTTCAGAGTTAGAACTCTAATTTAATAATTTAGAGTTAGAGCACCTTCGTAGTGAGAAGTATGTATAACTGAGGGATAACTAAGATTTCCAAGCCTGGATAACCAGGGGAATGGCAATACCATTGACATAAAATGCAAAAATCTGTGGGAGCTTTTGTTTTAAATGTGGTGGGGGAGAGATGATGAAAACTCATTTTTAGAATGTTAGGTTTGAAGTTCAGACAACTTTTACATAGAATGTCCAGTAGGCACTAGCAAATTTGGAACTATAGTTTGGAAGGTAATTCATGGAGCAAATTAGAATATTAAGATATTGTACAAAGGGAATGGAGACTTGAAAAATCCATGGTGTGCAGGGTATGTGGAGAAGGCAGAGAAATCTGAGAGGAAGATAACAAGGAATCAGGGGTAGGAATTGTGATAGCAGAAGTAGGTGAATTCAGTGTCATGGAAATTTGTGTACGAGAAATGGATGGTAAACAGTGTTGAACATTCTAAAAAAGTGAAGTTCAGTAATTGAGAAAAGGTTATTGGATTTGTTGAACAAATGGTAACAAATGAATAACTGAACATTACTCTATAGGAAATTTCTAATGTCAGCATACCTACTGTTGTGTTAACCCAATGCAACAAGTCTTCACATCATTTCAAGAGTTATTGGCACACCTTCTTACAGACATGAAAGAAATAGTAATTTTAACTATTTTTAAGGTGGATTTTCTATTTTCTGAAATATTGATGACTTCAAAATCTTCTGAAAACTGAAATCAACTTTGACATGTTTTATAATTTCATTGGATAAATTGACATTTTGATTATCACATTATTTAATTACATATTAATGGAGCTTTATTGACATATTAAACATAAAATATGAAGAGATTATAGACATAACTAAAATGTAACCTATTTGAATTTCTAGAACATTGCAAAATCTTATATAAATGTCTATATTCACATTTGCATCTTAAAGTGTTAAACTTACTTACCTTCAGGGAATGCCTAAGAGCTGAAATCTGTCTAAATAGATGATTTTCACACATAACACCATCTTGAAAACATCTGGACTTCACACAAACCACAGGATAACCAATAATCCTCAAAGACCTAAAAGAACCACATTTCTATCAGTGTAAAATGATTTTTCTAAGAAAAATGTTTGATTTTTTTGTAATTACAACTAAAATATAAAAATATATAGCCCTGTTCCTGATGTATCTATCTCATCTTTGTATATACATGTGAGAAGAACAGGCAAACATTCTCTCTGAAGATTCAGCAACCTGCTTTTATCCGGAGACAATCTCGGGAAGAATTTGATAGGCTAACAAAAGAGACAACCTTTTGGTAGCATATAGATATAGCTGAATATCAATCGAAATTTAGAAAGTAGAATATGAAATGAGCAGTTTTATTTAATGAGTGGGTTGGACTGGAGCTGAGGAGTAGAGAGATGGAGTAGGGAGAGGTTAAAAATTGTCAAACTCGGTACAACTTGGTATTTGCCAATTCAGAATTATGAAGGCCTCCCTGAAGCCCTGATGTGCCTTTGCACTGCTAATTCCTTGTGTTTTGTTTTTCTTTTAGATGCCTTTCCAGTAAAGCTAACAAAAAACAAAACAAAATAAAACGGTCTCCAACATACTAAACAGCTGTCTCCAAGATCAGAAGGCATCAGAAAAGACCCTCAAGAGTTGTCTAATCCCAGAGGAAGATCTTGTTTAAGTGGAGAAGTGCTTGCAGCAGAAACCTTGGAAATTTCAGGGAGTGGAATTTTATTGTCAGAACTTTCAATAAAAGTGTAGCCACAGATCCTGGGAGCATTAAATAAAAATTACCAACAAGCTGTCTTACCTGTGTGCACTCCACTGAAAGGAAGGGCAAACATGAGCAAGTAGCGCTTGTACATCAGTCAAAATTCTGACAGCTACCCTGTGAAGTTTGACGAGCTGCCATGTGCTAGACTACCTAAGATACTCTTAACTGAACCATAAAAAGACAAATAAATTAGTAATTGTATCCCTCCTGTCAATGTCCTTTTTCGTGAACTTCTCAAGCTGTTGGTTAACATTGTCTGGAATGATTTATCAATATATTCTTAGCGTTCTTAGCAAAGACAGATACACTCAATTTTTTTCCCAAATTGTTTTTTGAATTGACTTAAGAAAATGAAACAGATATTGCCAATCTCTGAGCCTCTCTTTTTCGCTCCCCGCTCTGCACCCTCCCATGATTAAATCAAGCCAATAAGATTAACATAATCTTTCTTAGAATTGGCTGTTCTTTTTAAATAGATCCCATGATAGACATGTGTAAAAATCAATAACAGCCTCCTCATTTGTCAAAGCTAATGACTAAACTCATTTTGAAGTTCAATAGTGGTTACTGAAGAGTGGCCACACATTATATATCTAATCCTGTGTGTCTCCCCACTTACTCTGTGGAAGATCAGAGAGAAAGAAGGCTTTGTTGCTTGAGGCACCATATAAGAGCTTGTGTCTCCATTTTATTTGTATGTATCCATTTTTCCTCCAAACTATCACTATTTCTTGATTGTTCAAGCTTCTATATTAAAGAAAATTAAAAAAAAAATGAACCTGCTAAAATTTGTAAAACCCTCTACCCCCCCCCTTTTTCCTAACCAATGCAATTATATTCTTAACTCCTTGAGGTTGCAGACCATGTCTTACATATTTTTAATATCCCCAGAGACACTAACTTAGTGATTGGGCCATAGATTAGCATGAAATAAAGATTTGGTTGAATTAAACAGAATTAAGTTATCCAATATCTCGGACCCTGGCATGGCAGTTATCTTAAACCAGATATTCATATCCAGTGCAAGGTGCAAAAGATGCAGCTTTCTGTCAGACTCCTCTTGGATAGATGCTCGACAACACAGAGCGGCTTAAGCAGTGTTGCCTTCTGCAGTGTTCTCACTACCTTCCGCAAAACCTCTTCCCGGAAATGCAAAAGGATGAGAACTGACAGGTTTTGGTATCATGTCCTCCTGCCTTTCAAACATCCTCTGATTATAGGCATAAGCCAGCAACAAAGCATCTTAAAATCCAGGAAAGAAATGTAAATGAAAACATGTCATGACATATAGCTCTGGACTAATTGAGATTAGATTTATAAATTATTATTAATAAAATCAATGTCACATCTGCAGAAGGCTTACACAGCCTCTTCATATGCACCATCTCGTTTTCTAACCCCAAATCAGAACACTTAATAAATATTTCTTTCATTTCCCTAAAAATTCCAAATTGTGGTTTACTGTGCTTGCATTCCTCATTTCTTCAGCGAGTTGCCTTTCTCCGGGCTCCAGGTTGTATATTGCATTGCATGCCCATTGCACACGGCCATCTCTTGGAATCAATAGGTCAGATACAATTTGAAACTCCCTAGGTAATGGATTTTAAAAACTGCTTGAGGGTGGGGGAGAGAGACAGGAGGAAAAGGAATCCAGAGGAACAATAACTGAAGTGGAGTGATACATTCCTGATGGGAGCTGGAGAACTCCTGTTCTTTATAATAGCTTCTCAGGGGAGAAGCCGCCCTTTTCCAGCAGGAGGTGTCCTGGGAATAGCAGAGCCACCGCCATTCCATTCTTTTGATGAACAGAAACCGTATCAGCACTGTGCCCCTTGAGAGCTGAAGGGAAAAGGAAGGAGTTTAAAGACTTTTGAAGAATTTGGGTTGTGAGAGGTGGAAAGCCCAGACTCAGCTTGTTCATTTGGTATAGCTCATGTGAGGGGGAGGGTATTCTGCCAAATTTAAGGCCCTCTCAGAGCTCACGGAATCTGACAGCTGATCTGAGCTGGGTGCATAAGTTTATTCTTGCCAGGGGAGAAAGAGAGAGCAATAATGAAAAGAATGTTGAATGAATTAAATACAAAGTGTAAAAACAAAAATGCTTGCCTCCAATATAAATATCATGATGTGTTCATATTTTCAATTGCAGCTGTGCAATGAGGATGTCAAAGCATCAGTCATTAAATAGTAAGTAGCAAAAATCATTTTGACTTTAGAATAAAGCACAGACACCTTGCATCTGTTTGAGTTTTTAATTATTTTTAGAAGCTCAAAGTATCTCCCTGGATTTGTCTCATTGTTACAAGACTATGAGTTTGGAAAAATCAAGGAAGTAAGTGAAACTTACCATCTCATACCATGGCTGTGTGGTATACATGAGGCAAAATATGCTTTTCTTTTTCTACCCACAAAAGCTTCAAAGCCTTAATTATATGATGAATATAAGCAATCTAAAGCCATTAAATATTAGGCTATTTGAGGCTACAAAAAATCAGGGTTTATAATAAAAAACACTATCTTGTTATTAATATCTCTCATTTGTATTGTGTGTGCATATTTTTTAAAAATAAATTGATATTTCCTCCCAGTGGCTTTTTTTGAACAAACAACAGTTTGTTTCATGCTCATAGTACATGTTCAGTGCAGGTTGATACAGAGGCTCTGCTTGTTGCAGTGACCAATAGTTCCTTGATGGAAAGTCTTACTACCATGACCACTGAGTCAGAGAAAAGAAAAGAAGTGATGCATCTTCAGTTCACTTACATATCAGTTACCAAAGCCCGTTCACACCTACTTTGTTCTAAAAGCCTTAGTGATATATTATTTATGTACCCATAAATTTAGTATGCATTTAATAATTTTGAGTAAGTTTTTAGTATCGAATCATTTTTATTAAGTTAGTGTATAACTATCATCTAAATCTAATTTTAGAACATTTTTATTATCCCAAAAAGATCCCCCATGCCCATTTGCCATCTCTCCCTATTCTGACCCTAGGCCCAGACAACCAATAGTTTAATATCTGTGTCTATAAGATTTGCTTCTTCTGGGCATTTAGGATAAATAGAATCTCAAAATATATGGACTTTTTTATCTGGCTTCTTTCACTTAGCTTGTTGTTTTTGAGGGTCATTCCTGTTGCCGCACTTATCTGTAGTTGTTCATTTTTATTGCTCAGTAGTCTTCCATTTTACAGATATAACACCTTTTGGGTTTTCTTTCACTAGTTGATGGACATTTAGAATGTTTTCCCTTTTTGGCTATTATGAATAATGCTGTTATTTTGCATACAAATTATTGTGTGGAAATATTCACTTTTTAAAAAGAGATAATAATGTAATAAGATGGAGAAATATTTATTCTCCACTATTCTTTTCAGGACACTATTGTCTTTGAGAGATGTAAGAATAAGTGTTATGATAGAAGTTCCAGGCCGTGCATGTGGCTCACGCCTATAATCCTAGCACTCTGGGAGGCCGAGGCGGATCATTTGAGTCCAGGAGTTTGAGGTTGCTGTGAGCTAGGCTGATGCCTGGGAAACAGAGTGAGACTCTGTCTCAAAAAAAAAAAAAAAGAAAAAGAAAAAAGAAAAAGAAATTCCCACATACTCCTCATCCCTCACTCTAAGTCTTTTGGTGCCTAGTATCAAGGCTTCCCAACCAGAAAAAGGAGTTAGTGAATCTAGACATTTTCTTTGGGAAAAGAGATAAGAGAGAGTTAAGAAGAAAATTGATGGGGTGGCAACCATAACTAACATGGGATTTTGTTATAAGATATGCATTGTAATATTTATATTATACCAAAACCTCTATGTTGCTTAAAAAGTCTTTGGTAACACCTACATTTTCCATTAGAGCTTTGGGTGCAAGTAGATTCTTTGGAAGGAACTCCAGTGGGAAGTGACTTATGTCTCAGTGGATGTAGTAGCTGTTTTTGCTTATGTACAAAGCATTCCTATCTTGTCCTTTATTAACAATACCCAGATTTCCATTCAGGTGTACACCCCCTTCAATCACAGTTCTTGCACGTGAGGAAAGATGACCCCACTCATCCAGTGTATTATTAATACGTTTCCTATCCATTGCCATAGTTTCAGTGGGGGACATTAACCTTAGCTGGGACAATAAGGATGAAATTTAGGAATTTTACTGGAAATTTGAGAGGAAAACCCCGCTCATATAGACTTGAATGAAGAATAATGTGGTCTTGTTTGCATCCTATTACCACAAGGAAGTCAAATTTTGGTGAAGCTTATAATTTGAACAATAGAACCCAGAAATAACATGTGGTGACATTGGATTTACCAGTCCTTACCCTACAATTTCATTTTCCAGTTAGGTAAGTCAGTAAAACCCCTTTAATCTTTAATTCCCTTATTGCTTGAGTTGGTATTTTATTTCTTAAAACACAAGGATTCCAAATTGACATACCATACTTGGAGCAAAACTAAAGACAGTATAGGATTGTGGGAGGCAGAAGCCCTGGGGAGGCTGAGATTGTAAATTTTAAAAATTAGCAGATATCATAGGCTGTGGAATTGTCTGGAGTCTGGGCCAATTATACCCTGAAATCCAAAGGGCAAGAAGGTCCCAGCTTATATATAGGTTACATTCAATTCTTTTCCACAGTGTTTTTGTTACTAATATGTAGTGGACAATAAAGAGCTGAAAGTACTTTGACCTATCTCTGCAATACCTGGGGAGATGTGCCCCTTGATCCTGTACAGCAGTAGGGACCTTTTAAATGGAGAAAATCAGAATGTACCATAATGACAGGATTTGTTTTGTTTCCCTCTCCAACTGCCTGAGTATGTGAATTTCCTTTTCCTCTCCTTGTGGGAGAATCTTATGCACAAATCTGTGACAGCACTTAATACATTGTGCACATCATGTTTGTATTTACTTGTCATCCAACTGGACCAGGAAGTCCTTGAGGACAAAGATGGTACTAATTATTCTTTGTATATATAGTGTGCAGTACAGCACCAGGACGCTAATGGAGTACTCAGTAAATCTGTTTTACAAAATA